GCATCTATTGCATCGTTGGTTTGGTTGTTGCAGGATTCATACAGGGTACCGAGATCATACCACACCTCGCTAATATATTAATTAATGGTTTCTCGACCATTTAACAAATTATTTATTGATTACTTTGATAGATTTTAAATCATTTTATAGTCAAAGCCAAAAAAAATCAATTACACAGGTAAACTCGGTAAGTCAGACATTTATTTGTGCTTTGACAATTGATTGAGAGTGCTCTTTGAGTTTACCTATGTATCAGTAGTTAGTAGACATTGCAGTTATTGTAAATTTTGTGACTATTTGATTAACTGATTTAGCGGCAAGGTATAAAATTATACAGTCTATATTAATATATGAATAGTTCTAATAATACATAGGCTTTTCATATTAGAAGAATTTTTATTTTATTTTTTCGAAATTTTTTTATGTTTTTTTTTCTTCTTTTTATTACTACTTTTTAACTTATTCAATTTATTTTTTTCTTCGAGATTGATTTCTTCTCCTTTAACATCACCATCATTTATAAATTTACGTTTCTTTTTGCTAATTACTGCCACGCCATCATTATTACTACTATTGTTATTATTAATTGGTTTTTTTTTAATAAAACATGCGACAAAAAATCCATTAGTAAAATCTTCTTTTGGAGATGTACAAACAAGTTTATCTGCCAATTCTACAATAAATAAATCAACACAAATCAACAAATCTGGTAAATATTGTATTTATAAATATCTATTTTAAGAGTAATTTATCTACCTTCATCGATTTCGTTTGAATTACCACGTCTTGGCCATGCTTCCAACACATCTTTCCTATCAGCAAGTGTAAAATCATCTGTTTGTTTCAATACATTTCTCACTACATGTTCATTCTCCCTTACATTAATTGAACATGTTGAATACACTATCCTTTTTACGTATGGAACTATATAGTTAGTAATTTTTTGTTATTATGATTGGAAAAAAATCAATATAAATGATGATTGTTATTTTAATAGTAGTTACATTTAAATGCGTGTAAAATAATTCTTTCTTGAAATTCACTTAGATTCTTGATTCTTTCATCTTTAGTAATAAAGCAGCCATTGGATTAATATCTTGAAACATATATATATATATATATATATATCATAAACATTCAAAACATATAACCATTGTCATTACTATTATTATTGTCGTCATCGTCCTTATTTCCAGCATCATCATTTACATCCAAAGAGTCATTAATTAATCTATCTAAATGATTTACGATTCCTGATCCACTACAAGATGGGTCCAATAATATAAATTCAACTTTTGAATATTGTTTATCCGTTGGATCAACATCAAAAAATGATTTATTATATGGAATGATTGAAGCTGCTGAAAAAGAAGGTTATGAAATCTCTTCTAATGATTTAAGAGATGAATTGGTCACTTTTTTCTTAGCTGGACATGACAGTAATTATATTTAATTTTTGGGAATAATAATGATTAATTGATTAATTGGATAAATCTTTTTATTAAATAGCAACTTCACATGCTTTAAGTGTTGTTTTCTACTACATAGCTA